TGGCACCGCTGCCAAGATGGCGGCCCTCGCATCATCCTACTATATACCTATATACAGCCCACTGCCAGTGCGACCTCTCTATTGCTACATAAATCCCTTCCAGGCCGTTGTTAACGTTTTCCCTTGCTCGCGGACATCCCAAATCAACCAGAGAAGGAAACGCGTCAACCTCTGCGTGAAATCGCGTCGCAATCGGCTGACATTAACCGCAAACGGAAGGAAAGAACGGTGACGCTCGTAAGTCGTCCAGATAAAATACTGTCTCATGTTTGGCAAGATCGCGACGACGGTTCGAAAATCGAGATTCCTTTCTTCCCTTTTCCATCCATTCCCGTTCCCGTAATGGCGGCTTCCGGTCCGCCGTTCGCTCGTCCCTCGTTGCCGGAAACGCCGGGTTTTCGCTTCGTCCTCTCGACCGGACACTCGTTGGCGGTCCGAGCAAGCAGGAATCCAAAGCGAAAGAAGAAGAGGCTACCGTCAAGGCTCGATCACGGCTATTCGATAACCTAATGCGTACGCTTATAAATACCCTAGATAAAGATTATTATTGCACGGTGTTGAGGTTAGGGCGCCGCGGGTGGCCGGCGGCGTAACCTCGGTGGCGTCGGTGTCGCCTCTCTTAACCCTTTTAGTGCCGGTCGAAGTTGTTAGCGCTTGTAAAACGATATATCGTTGTCCGGCACTATAAAGATTAAACGTCGTGTGCACGATTACGCTTTCCGGATTCGTTTCCAACGAAATGAAGTTTGCATCGAGTTACAATTGATCCGTGGGTCGATTATGTAACTCGAATCTAGGGAAAATTCTGAAAGTGAACATCCCAAGCGACTTCGTGATTTTCGCAATGGTGAAAGTGTGACATACTTCGCGTGAGACTACTCGACCAGAAACTCCGAGGTCTCGGACCAAGTTCCTTCACTCTCGAGATTTCGCGTTTTCACTCGGAGAATCGGGTGAATAAATTCACAAGAGATGACAGTAACTTTGGCGACAAGTGAGCACTCTCGCCAAAGTTATAGAATCGATCCCCTGGAGTTAATGTTTACGATAAACCAAAATTAATTCGTGAATTCTTCTTGATTTTGAAAATATATCGCATCTGTGCATAATGCTTAATTAATTGAAGGTATACTTGACTCAGGTTTTTAGAATTTACATGACAAATGTGCATAAACCAAGATACTAATTAATGGAACGTGTTTCGATTCTAACGTATTATGGACGCATGTTTTATTTTAATAAATTCCGCATTCTTCGTAGTCAATGCGTACTAATACCGTTTAGAAATGAATATTTCTTGAATATGTAATTCATATTGCCTTCACAAGGAAATTCTCCTTTCATTTATGTGCTAATTAGAGTACTCTTTCCTCTGCATTTAACATTTCACCCTTAGGTTCGTTCGAATTAGCTGTACTTTCTGCACTTGAAGGTAACAAGTGTAACTAACTGTCCTACTCTTTTCACAAGAAGGGCGAAAGTGTAATTACATTTTTGTCGGCCATTCCGAACGTCAGAAATCGGAAGAAAGTTCAAAATGAAGTTTTTCAGTTTCCATCGAGCTAGTTTTCAGCACAAATAATGAAAAAAACAAATATTTTTTGTCACACGGGGTCATGTATTAACTTTATGCTTCTTTATACCAAACGATACCTTTTTGTCCCCGCTGCACCTCCTCGAGGAGAAGTGCAGCAAGTGCTACACTTTTATCCTAAAAAGTGTAAAACTGTAATTGCACTTATAACCAGAACACCCGTCTATGTCGTCACATAAACCGAACATATACGTCGTTTATAACCCGACACGAAATTTGACGAAAGCGTTTACTAAGTGCAAAAGCGCAGATAATCCGAACACATTATTTTCCCCACCTTTCTAAGAATCGATGGAAAAAATTCTCGAGATTCCATCTGTTATCAGAGATAACCTGGGGGAGTTAAGGTGATATGAAAGTGTGATATATACGTAACAAAAAGTCAAAATATCTATAAAACCTTTTTCCAAACTGGGGGCACCAAATTATCTAAAACTTTAACACGTGATTATGGAGGCCCTAAGGAATAACGCGCTACTCGTGAGATTTCTTTTTTCGTAAAAAAAATGTACTTATCTCGGACAAGAACCAAAAAAAAGGTTTTCTTTTTCGAAAAATGAAATTTCAGCGCGTTCTTCCTTAGATCCTCCATAATCACGTGTTAGAGTTTTAGATAATTTGATGCACCCAGTTTAGTGAAGTTTTATAAATATTTTGACTTTTTGGTATGATGTACCACACTTTCATGCCACCTTAAGAACCTTGTTACATGGTATCTTTCGAGACACCGATGCACTCTTCATCTCCCACCGGAAATGCATAGTCCATGCACAAGACGCATTATTCAGGCGCTTTCCGAGTCTCCTTGCAACGAGACTTCCGACGACTCTCGCATAACCAAACCCGCGATTTCCCGTTCCATCTTCCTTCCCATCGCCCTCGGGTCGCATCCGTTCGTCTCTCTCGCACCTATCGGAGTCGCCGAAGCGCCCTCTCTCTTCCTCCGCCGCCGCGACGAGTCCGTTTTCCTCCTCGCCTCCTTTTTCTCCCTTTTCGCGTTTCCTCCCTCTTTATCCGCCGTCGTCGACGTCGCGCGCTTTCGCCGCACCTCGCGGTGCACGGGGCGGTACGTGTATTGCACTCTCGTTATAAATTAGGTCCCCGCATTATTGCACGGAACGTAATAAAGTCCGCGCCATTGCCGCGTCCCGGGAGCCCAATTCGCTGGGAACGCCGAGCGTCGAGACGCTCGGCGTCCTTTATCGGACCCGCAGGACCGAGGGATCGAGGCTTTATTCACTTTTCTCTTTTTCCTTCCCTGCTTCCAAGGTCAATGCATGCCGGACACGCGTCATTCGTGTCTTTCCTTTTTTAAGGCCGCGCTGGCGAACGTTTTACGCCGTTTTAGGGAAATAACCCTGGAAATGGCGGCTCTTTGGGGAGATAAAAAGCGCCGCGAGTCTGGACGGTTCCTCGGGGTCTTTCTGCAAGGCGTATGCGTAACGCCGTATGTACTCGGTCTATAGGTGGTTTTTTTATTTCCGATGGACTAATTTGATAAATTCAGCGGTTTTAGGGGAGTTTCCAGAGATGTTACAGTGGATTGGGTGGAGAGGGGGCGAGTTTTTTGTGGAATATACCGAGTGATAGGTACTCCTACCAGGTTAATATCTACCTGTCCGATCGAAGGGGTTGATCATTCATTTTGTGTCAATTATTAACAAATTCCGTAGCCTTTGATTGGCTTCTCGATTATCAGCTCTCTGGAACGCGATAGCAGTAATTTACTGTATTGTCCTAGAGAGTGACTCGACGTACTCCATTCTGCATGATTAAGCGTGTACTATTTATCGATACGACTGGCTTATGTTCGTTCTGTATACATGAACTTAATGAAATAATAAAACTAGTTTCTTTTTTGTTAAATACCGAACCATGCTTAAATTTCTATATCCAACGTTTCTTCCGACACTTAAAAAAATGACCTAGGTATACCTTTCATTTTGAAACATGTTAACCTTTACTTTTGTGAAACGTTATCCATNAATACCGAACCATGCTTAAATTTCTATATCCAACGTTTCTTCCGACACTTAAAAAAATGACCTAGGTATACCTTTCATTTTGAAACATGTTAACCTTTACTTTTGTGAAACGTTATCCATTTAATAAATAAATTCCACCTTTTCCAAATCTTTAGAATCAACACGATTTTTCAGTTCCCGGCAGATTTCTAGCCTAATAAAAAATGAAGAAATAACCATCCCCGAGATTTTATCCCTGCAGGTCTTGCAATTTTTCTGGTTCACTTGAAAATAACGTCCTGGACACTCAACTCGTATTCCAAAAGCGAGGCGGTCGTTTGCGTTCCTCCACGACGTGGTCAAATTCTTAATGCAGACCGGAATTCCACGCATAATGTTATGGCACCCAATAAAACGCCATTTCTCGGCATAAGTGAGGGTCGGTGGCACTCGCGGGCGGAAACTTAGCATCGCGAAATTGAGGCACCGCTCTCGCATATCTCCCCCCTTTAACTCGAGGGTAATTCGTGCCAAGGCTCTACTAAAATCGTGCCTAAGTGCCCCGTGACTTCAAGAACGAACGATTCGAATTACTTCCGGCATTGTCGGAGCTTCGTGCTTAATGCGGCGTTACGGCCCGCGAACGATTTGCATGAGAACCGCTGCCTAATAGAGAGGAAAAGTGCCTTGCCAAGTGCCGCACACAATTGTGCGACATATCGTTTTTCTTCATGAAACTCGGCGAGCCGAAGCTAATTGACCAAAAGTGGTTTATTTGGAAATAACACTGCCAATCGAGAAGAAAAGACACGTGAGAATTTGTAGGTATTTATTAATTCCATCAGGAAAGCAGTGGTTCTTAAGGGGACGTGAAAGTGGCATCCGAAAGGCGATCGTTCGTGAAACTTTTCTTCTGAACTTGGTGTACCGAATCCTTTCAAACTTTACAACGTGAACATGGAGGCTATAAGGAAGATCCTGACACTCATGAAATTTCATTTTCTATAATCAATTTTGAAAATGTCTATAAGCAAATTTAAAAAATAATTTAAATTTGATGGTTGCCAGGACCTTTCTTATGGCCTTTATTTTAACATTGTCAAGTTTGATACGATTCGGTACACCCAGTTCGGAGAGATGTTTCATAAATCACCTTAAGGTGACATGAAAGGGTCATCCTATATATCAAACGTCAAAATATTAATAAAACTTTTCTCCAAATTGGGTGCCCCGAATTATTTGAAACTTTAACACGCTATTATGGAGGTCCCAATAAAGGGTCTTGAAACTCGCGAAATTTCATTTTTCAAAAAAATACTTTTTTTTATTTAGCCCAGACTAGAACCAAGATCACATTTTTTTTGTGAAAAATGAAATTTCACAAGCATCGCGGTCTTTTCTAGGGTCTCCATAATCACGTGTTAAGGTTTCAAATGATTTGGTACACCCAGTTTGGAGAAAAGTTTTTTTTAGGTATTTTGACGTTCTATATATATAGGATGACCCTTTCATATCGCATTAAACTTTTCAAAATCACGGAACACCCGATAAGAACATTTACGCAACTCCAAAATCTCTCGAGGGTCATGAAACTAACGGCAAAGTATGCAAATGTATGCACGAAATATATATATATGTATGTGTGGAACTTTTGTTACAAGTTCGAAGACGGGCCAAGAACCACTGTATTTAACGTTTGAAATACTGTCAAAGAATGATAACAAAAGTGGTAATTTGATGTTTGTTTCAGATTTGTTAGCTTTTGAGATTTACAGGATATTTCGGCACTTGCCATTTTAGAGACTCTAGAGCAGAACATTAAACAAATGAAAAAAAAGAGAGAGAGAGATTGGTTGCGCTTTCTGCGGGGAATTTAAGAAACAAATGAAAACAAATAATTGAACCTCTGGCAATTTGGAAAAATCTTGCTTTCAATTAGTTATATTTGTTTTCCGGGAATCGTCCGTTCCGTTTCAAAAGGATTGAGAAGAGTTTAATGAAAGTTAAATCCTCGCGGCTTGAAGTATTGAAACGAGCCACGAGTACGTGGGATTTTTCATTCAACCTTTCTGGAAATTGGTCTGCAAATAGATTTCAAGAGCAAACAGATCTGGCCAGTGCTATTATTGACCCAACCTTTCGAATCAACAGGCAGCTGAGGGAATTTCAAAATTTTTCGGTATTTCCAAAGGATCACCTTTCCTCGACCGAGAGTAGGCGATCACTAATTTTAGTACTTCTCGGATTCCTTTCTCAAATTTCATTCACGACCAAGCACATTTGGCCGACATGAATGCGCCAGGCATTTCGTAACCCGATTTCAAGGGTGCAGTATGAAATGAAACATCCGCATAAATAAAAGTGACTATCAACAGCTGCAAAATATGCCCTGTAATTTTGTACCCTATTTTCCAGATTTGAATATAGAGAAAATGTAACATAACTTGCCAAGTAGGTGAAATTTTTACCTTACCTTCTCACGAGAAGATAAATAACAAGCCAACCACCATTCCTCCCAAGACTAACATTGCAAACTCAAAGTTATCGAATGAAGTTATTCAACCAAAAATCATGCTTACAGAACGAACCTACGTAAACCATCTTTCAAAACAGGGAGCTCAAGATATTTTTCTTGAATTGCACAAAAAAGAGGACTCTACATCAGATTTCAAAGTCTTACGCACTCCGTTGTTTAACAACAACCGAATGAAACTTACGTTAAACGATAAACAAAATACACGCGAAATGTCATTAATGACGTCTCCTTTTCCATGAATACAAAATTGTCAGTCTCTGAGGGACCTTTCATTATGAACACTAAAGTGTACGCAAAATATTATTAATGGCGTTCTTTTTGGCACGGGTTCAATGATGGAACGACAATTTTTCATGGACATTTCGTCATAATAAATTTTGCGCTGCAACGATCAGAGGAGCCATATCAAATCCCATAGGGAACCTGTCCAAATAAAAATTAAAATGTACGCAAAATATTATTGACAGCATTCTTTTTCTTCCGGGTCCAAAGATGAAGCGACAATTTCTCGGGGACTTTTCGTTATACTAAATTTCACCGTTTTGCGCGGCACTGCAACGTTCAGGGGAGCCATATCAAATCCCATAGGGAACCTGTCCAAATAAAAATTAAAATGTACGCAAAATATTATTGACAGCATTCTTTTTGTTCCGGGTCCAAAGATGAAGCGACAATTTCTCGGGAACTTTTCGTTATACTAAATTTCACCGTTTTGCGCGGCACTGCAACGTTCATGGGAGCCATATCAAATCCCACGTGGGGAACGTGTCCAGACTCGGCAGCACTTCCGGCAGCACCCAAAGGCCCGGTCAGAGCCGATAAATATCGGCAGCACGTTTCAGCGTCCACAAGAGAGTCTAATCAGCGAAAACGTCCGCAAGCGAGCAGCTTTGGTACTTAAGTCCGCACAGGAGAGAGAGCTCGGTCGGTAACTTTGTCGGCGTTATTCGGCGCCCTGCTTACCGACTGGCCTCGTTAGCGACCTTATTCAGCCTTTGAGAGTCCTCCACGAGTGTAATTGCGTTCTCCGCCATTCTGCCCCGTCTGCATTTCGACCTGTCAGCCGTGTTTCGGTCAAGCCTCGTCGCATCCCAAACCAAGAGGACTTCCAAAAACAACCGGAAGCCACCTTGGTCGGGTCGATGGGGTGTCGACGACCGATTGCTCATCCACGAGGAACCGCGGCAAATAATCGAGGAGCTGGCTCGATCACGTATCATTGACCAGATCAATCGATTTTGACTTGTACGGTCAATCTTGGAGGACACATTAGAGGGTGAGAGGCTAATTGACGAAGAGTTTTGGGAAGGTTTGCGTGGCAGAATCATTAAAGCCGATGGTCACACGTCAGTCGGAATTTTGATCCTATTTAAAATCTATAATCGCAGGTCTTAACACTTTATCGACCGGAAGCCTATTAATCGGTTTTGCGATACCCGTGATCGCCATTTACTTCCAAATTTGCCGATCGGTAGTGTTAAGGTGATTCGAAAGTGACGTATTCCTTAAGAAACTCCGAGCTGGGTGTACCGAATTGTTTGAAGTTTTCCCACGCGGATATAGAGGCCCTATGGAAAATCCCGACACCCGTGAAATTTCATTTTCCTTCATTTGTTTATGGACATTTTTTACTTTTTTTTGTTAGAAAAAGACGAAATTTCAAGGATGTCAGGACCTTCCTTAGGGCCTCCATGTTCACGTGGTAAAATTTTAAACGATTCGATACGCCCAGTTAGGACAAAAGTTTCACAAACGATTGACATTTTGGATGCCATTTTCGTATCACCTTAAATGGCATTTCAGATAGTACAAAGACGAGTAACATTTATACAATTTTGGTCCTATCTCGGATCTCAACATTGGCAGATATTGTCATTTTTTCTACTCGCGGGCCTAAAGTAGGGCTTACTTAAGTCACATAGGTAACTACCCCTACAAAGTACTAAAATTTCATTTGGGTACCTGCGACTTCTCAGTAGATCGTGATCGGTCAAAACTATGGAAAAAGGTGCACATAGTTCCGACGAACGGTGTCTTCTTTGTACATCACCGTTGGTGCAAGATCACTATTTGGACCGGGTTAATCTACCTTCGTAGACCGGTTAATTCGTAGAAAGATACAGCATTACGTTGAATTGACGATTATTGACTGTATACGGTCCAGATTCCGACAAGAAATCGGATAACAAATCAGTGAACTGGCCCAACGGGGGTAGATTCGGGCAAACATGAAGGTCGCTACCGGTTCAAGTAACGCGTTCAACAACCAGCTCCTCGATTTTCCACGACGAGACTACTTAACATTAAGTAGAAATAGATTGCCCCTACTTCGCTGGATTCGTATCCGATCAACTCCATCGGTTCGCTCGGCAAGCATCTCGCCATAACCAACATAACCGACTCGTTCGATTTAATTCAATTGGCTACTTTCCCGAATTCGTTTAATAATTCACATAGTAAAATCCCTACCAACGATCCGAAGTACTCCGTAACCTATTAACACGCTCGACCTCTATCCAGTCTCCAGGTTTTAAATCCTACTTAGCAGAATTTCCTCCAGGGTTTAGTGGCGACCCTCCCCCGACTCGGCGGATCCATCTTCGCCCGCCGTCTCGTCGCGGGGCAATTTCTCCTAATAACACCGAACACGAGCGGTTCGATCCTTACCGATCCGCCTTGCTCGTATCAGCCCCCCCGGAAAGGAGTCGACGACATTTCCGTCACGATCGAGTAGATCCGCTCTACCCGTTCGCTCGGTCCATGCCCAACGTCCCTTCCCCAACGGCCTCCAGCCAGTCGGGACCGTTCGATCCCCTCCTCTCAATTCCCTCTTCTAACTACGTAAACTCCGCTAAAAAGAAAGACAATTCTCCTAGTTCTGACTATAAAACATTCCGAGTTCCTCTGGAGCCTCGACCCGTTCCCTCCTCGCGGGCAGTCGGTCGAAATTCCCGAAACGAATGAACGGAGCAGCGGTGGAGCGCCCGATATGGCAGTTCCCGTGGCGCCGGCCTGTAAGAAAGTAGCGGCGCCGGAAATACCTCTCCTGGTGGCGGCGCCTACAGATAGGAGGCGGCCGCGTGGAGGGTGGCCTGGAGGGCGCGGTGGATGGCGTGGAGGCGCATCAGGCCCCCGAGGGAGCCGGGCGACTGCGGCTGGGTCGGACTCGGGGACTTGGGACGGGACTGGCCGTGCGGGAGGACGCGCCGGCGCAGGAAGGGCTGCTGCACCCTGCGCGCATCCCTTTCCGGCCCTCACTTGTCCTCGGACTCGCCCCTGGGCGACGTTTCCGTGTCCTGGCGCTCGCTGGAACAGACAGACCTTCGTTAATGTCGGATGCGATAAACGGAGGAAGAAATCCGTAAAATCTACACATTTTTATTCATTTAGATAACGACGGCAGGATTATTTCCATCGGCGTTACCGTTGAAGGAAATATTCGCAAAGGGATGAAGGCAAAATGATCGGAGGTCCATGGGCGGCCCTATTCCAGGGGTCATGGGCGAGAAGACGTGATCGGTGCCTAAACAACTGATACGGCTAAACCAAGACTGTCCCTAGGAACACGGGACAAAAAGGATATACTCGGTCTTGGACCACGGAATCGAGCAGTTGGGTCTTATTCGGAATACTCTAGTTTTGAGGCATACACGCATATTTGTCTTATAATAAATCATTATCCCAGGCTACGAGATGTACGAAATATAGGAAAATTGTCAATAGTAGACACGTGTGTTTTAAATACCTACTACACGAGTTCTCACCGCGACTTCTTACAGTCACCCGCTAATTTCACGTTTCGCGACCACATTGCATAAGATCAACCTAATGGGCTTTTATTCCATAGACTTTTAATTTTGTTATAATTTTATACCGTCATTGTTTTTCGGTTATGGTGCTTCTTTTCGAGATCCGATCTGGCAAGAGAGCGCGAGGATTAAGATATCGTTTTTTGGTTAGCTTGACCGTTCCATTTCGTGCACCCCGCAATCGTTCCTTTCGTTGGAACAGTTAGGATGAAGCCTTTGTTCCTCGAATCCGTAAAAATTGCAGATAAATATCTGTAGCGATTACGTATAAGTATTTGGAAGGGTTACGGATAAACATCCGTCACCCTTAAGGTGATACGAAAGTGGCATCAAAGAAACTTTTCTAAGTGTAGAGTCGATCGAATGAAATTAAGGACGCTCACCACTCCAGCGATTTTGCAGGGCCTCATGGGGACAACGATTCCGAACGTATTTCTAAACCGATCGAGCTTAACGAGTGCTCATATCGAAGATGAAATGTTGACCTGTGTTTATATGGGAGCGATTTTCGATAAGTGGTCATTTTCATATAAAAAAGTGCAACGACATAATTTCAATGCCCTTTTACCTAGGAAGGAGGTGCTCGATCGAAAATCGCTCCCATATAAACACACGTCAACATTTTATCTTTAAAACGAGCACTCGTTGAGCTCAATCGGTTGAGAAATACGCTCAAAATCGTTGTCCCCGTGGAGCACCTTTTTCAGGATTTTCAAGTTTCTCGCGAGGAATTTGGGCATTCCTTAGCAACCGTTGCCGACTCTAGGCGGAGCGTCCAACTTGCGTGTGCGTGCGGCCGAGTGTCACACACGTTTCGGCGCCTAGTCCAGAGGCGTCTAGCCGTTGTGTGAGTTGTATACGTGCAAAATACGCTCACATTTTTCGTCCGTTGCTAAACACTGCCCATTATGCGTCGCGTCTCCCTCATCCGAGCGAGAAAGTACGTTTTGGTTACCTCCCACCGAATTCGATGCTAATGCCATCTAGCGGTGGAAGTCATCGTCCCCACTTTGGTGGTGAACGCCGTTAAGACAAATTTTGAACGAAACTTGAATATTCTCTTGAGCTGAACTTCACCGCAGTAGTTTAACTCGTATCGTTACATTTTCTGTATGCAAACGAGGAGTTTCGCCTCAATGAGAGAAAGACTTTAAAGGGAGTAATGATATTCTTGTAACAAACTTGTAACTGTATAAAAAAGGTAGTGCAAGGAAGTATATAAGACGCTATATATTGCTATAAGATAAAGAAATATGGAAGAGACGATCGCAGCAGCGTTATCGGTTGGCTGACGTACTAATTGTACCCATAATTACTAAAGTGGTCTAAGTAAACAATAACAAAAAATGAATTTAACACATACTTTGTACTATATTCAGCTTAATTACGATTTTATGAAGTTAGTTTCCAAACGAAAAAAATGACGTAGGCACTTTCATAATCATCGGCACATACCATCGAGCTTCCTCTGAATTCTTCGGTTCACCAAAATGAAACGTAGCTCTCGATCTCTTCTTAACTTCCTTAAAATATCCGTGAATTTTACTATTCTCCCGAATAAAAAAGTTAATTAACAAAAACTCGTTCAAATAATTTTAGAAGCAGAGGAGTAACGATATTGCCTGAATTTAACCAAACTCTTCAAATGAAGGTAGGTAATATACGAGCCAATTAGTCGAAATTGCAATAAGGTTACGTTGCGAGAGGTCCGAGTAAATTGAGTCCATGTTTAGGAACTACTTCCGGTCACATGAACTCACGAAATGTTAAAAATACCGACGCCATTTCATTTCAAGGGGTCGGTGCCGTTTTTTGCGCGTTCTCTTATCAATATACTCTGTTATTTAGACCAGCTGTCCCGAATATCGGGAGGAGGAAAACGACGCTTTAAAGAGCGTACTTTAAGGTGAAGCGAAACTCTCTCCAAATCAGTCGATTCGAATACAACACTTTTTTTTAAGGGTATTAGACCAAATTGTTCGAAACTTTGACACATCACTCCTGATCATCTAAGAATTGTCCTGACTCATTAAAAATTTGGATTTTTTAAACAAATTTTTTAACTCAGTCCAGACCAGAACCAAAATGGCGTCGAGCTCTCATATTTCGATCAATATACAATTATCGAAGGCTCTGATATGAGAATCGAAAGGGTCAGGACAATTTTACGACAATTTAGAACCCTCTGGTAATCAATAAACTCGCATTTGAACGGGATAAAGGCAAACAAAGGGTTGTATGCGCTTGTATGCCAAAACGATGGTAATACGAGGTCTCGAAGTGAAGATTTAATTGACCTGGAAATCACAGATGGCGCAGGGGGTCCCTCTGCAGTCAATTAGGGCCCCAGAAAGCATGAATCCAGAGGATTTCTGGAGTTTTACTTCGATTTCTTTATAATTATTGTACGAAAACGACAGGTGGAGTATGCCATTTGGTACAATACCCAATATAATTCGACACAGCTGTCAATATAAAAACGAACGTTGGCAACGTAGGCATTTAGAAGAATCTTCTCTATCGACGTTGATCAAGTTCTTCGACGTATTTCACTTCACTTTAACGGCGTTCACCATCAAAGTGGGGTATTTGGCACGTATAGGACTCACACAACGGCTAGACGCCTCTGGTCTAGGCGCCGAAACGTGTGTGATATCCGGCCGCCCGCACACGCCAGTTGGACGCTTCGTCTAGAGTCGGCAATCGTTGCTAAGGAATGCCCAAATTCCTCGCGAGAAACACGAAAATCCCGAAAAAGGTGCTCCACGGGGACAACGATTTTGAGCGTATTTCTCAACCGATCGAGCTCAACGAGTGCTCGTTTTAAATATAAAATGTTGACGTGTGTTTATATGGGAGCGATTTTCGATCAAGCACCTCCTTCCTAGTTAAAAGGGCATTGAAATTATGTCGTTGCACTTTTTTATATGAAAATGACCACTTATCGAAAATCGCTCCCATATAAACACAGATCAACATTTCATCTTCGATATGAGCACTCGTTAAACTCGATCGGTTTAGAAATACGTTCGGAATCGTTGTCCCCGTGAGGCCCTGCAAAATCGCTGGAGTGGTGAGCGCCCTTAAGGGGGTAGCATTAACCCTGCCGCGTTAACTGAGAAGATCGTTGTCATTATTTCTTTATTCGTCGAGTGCGGTTACCAAGAGCTAGGGGCAGTGCAGCAGAATTTCATTCCCCCGATTAGAAATGTCCCCCGGGGCTGCGCGGCTCTCTTTGCGCTATAAAACATTTATTTATACCCTTGCTGGTCCCTTATAAGTTAAACGTCTCGTCGGACATTTTATGACGCCAGAATGTTGTGCACTCCCAGCCTCGAGAAATACATTACACCATTCGCAGTTCACTAGTCTCTGATTTTGGATGCGAAATAAACATCGCGTTAAGTTCCGAACGGATCTGTCAAAACTTGACCCTACAAATTCCTGGCAAATTAATTCACACATTATCTGACTACTCATATACAGCTATTTTAATAACTTCACGTGTCTATGAAATTCGTCCAACTCGATCGCTTACAACGAATTTAATAAATGTAGTTATATATATTTCAATACTAAAATATTTTAATATACTTTGTAAGTGACTGGAAATGAGAAACAATTATTAAAACGCTTTACTATCTGCAATTGTATGTTAGGGTTCTTTTCCACGTATTGGGAACATCGTTTCGATACTGTTTTCGTGGAATGCAACAATTACGCCTTCCACGGCTTTTTAAAACTTGCAAGTACGGGGAGAACGAGACGTTAAGGGTTGCTCTTCTCTCGTCACTTTTGTCATGCTCGTTACTCCAAGTCATTACGAAATCTGCCCCTCCTGTCGCCATTGCGGCACATCTCGAAAGCACTGATTAAAGTACGTTATGTAGAAAACACATGATACTTATGTATGCTGAAATATGCTCGCTAGATATGCCGGAATATTCTGTAAATTTTCAAATGGGAAACATCAAATTCCACTATTACCAAAATGTGCACGTTTATCCGCCATCCTGAATAGAAAAAAAAAAAATTATATAAGTACACTCATGACTCTTTTTATCCTGTATTTTTTTAATGCGATTTACTTTTACACTGTTTTATAACCCATTTTATTTACTCGAAGCAATGTGCTTCATTTACTTTTACATGATTTTTAACAAATTTGAGTTACATGGAGATGGTTGCAAAAACTTCGTCTCCCGAAATTCTTTTTCACATCAATCTTAATGAGTCCCTTTTTCGCATCTTTTTTCGCCAATATGGATTCCTACTTTATACCTCTATGGTACAGAAATAGCGTTCCCAAAATGAGATCGAAATTTACATACAGTAATTCCAGGGTTTCTCGCAACTCGGGAGCGAAAGGAAAAAACAGAGCAAAATGAGAAACTTTCCTCGTCCCAATCGTCACGCTCGTTGCGTGACTCCATTAACGAGTCCTTCTTGAAAACCACCTCCTTTAGCTCGACATTGTGAGTTTTCTCGCGGTGAAAA